CAGGTTCCATCGTCTTTGCTGAACGGGCAATCCAGGAGTCCCGCTGCTGGAGAGTACAACCTCTTTCATTTCCGCTGCCGACGTGACTTCTTACCTCCAGTGCTGTTTGATCTCGTCACTTTTTGCTGATGGGAATCGGTCATCCCCACTGACGGCAGGGACACCCGCTTTCTCAGCATTGGTCACACAGAGAGAGAGGTGAGAGATACTTGATCGAGATCGCAGGCCAGGTTCATTCTACTCGTGGGCCTGAATACAAACCCGCGCAGGCAGAAAGAGCGATTCAGCGTGTACCGCTGTTTTTGTTATTATTAAGTTTTTTTTATTTACTTGTTTATTTATCATTATTATTTTTCGTTTTTTTTTTAATCACAAGCACTTGCCTCACAGCAGTGACGAACCGGGCTTATGCGAAGGGAAGGGGAGTGCGCAGTGAGAGAGAGAGAGAGAGGGAGAGAGAGAGAGAGAGAGAGAGAGAGAGAGACAGAGAGAGAGAGAGAGAGAGAGAGAGAGAGAGGGACATCGCTGAGAGAGAGAGAGAGTGTGTGTGCAGTGAGAGAGAGAGAGACAGTGCACAGCGAGAGATAGAATGCACAGTTAGAGAGAGAGAGAGTGTGTGTGTGCAGTGAGAGAGAGAGAGTGCACAGCGAGAGAGAGAGTGCATAGTGAGAGAGAGAGAGACAGTGTGTGTGTGCAGTGAGAGAGAGAGAGAGAGTGCACAGCGAGAGAGAGAGTGCACAGTGAGAGAGAGAGAGAGAGGAAGAGAGAGAGAGAGAGAGAGAGAGAGAGAGAGAGAGAGAGAGAGAGAGAGTATGTGTGTGTGTGACAGAGCGAGAGAGAGAGAGAGAGATAGATAGATAGAGAGAGAGAGCAATACCAATCCATACACAGCCAACGGCAGAACAACAAGTCCTCTGGTGACATTCGAACATCATTCGTGGGTACACTCGATCACATGGGAGATGATTGCAGCAGTGGGAACCGGCATACTTAGCCAGAACAGCAAGTCCTCTGGTGACATTCGAACATCATTCGTGGGTACACTCGATCACATGGGAGATGATTGCAGCAGTGGGAACCGGCATACTTAGCCAGATTGCTGCGACTCCGCTGTTTGAAGCAAACGAACCTGATAGTCAAAGCCGACGGTCATGGCTGTTTCCCTATATGCAGCTTGAAATAACAAATTGAGATCCTAGTTGAGGACCAATGCACTGCAAAGAGGTGACAGTGTCACAGTGTGATTTTACTCCAATACTGAATGTTGATTTGTTTCTAACTAATTAATGATCCCATGATTGGGGGGGAGGCTGCTGCGCACTCAATCACGGGCGACCAGTGAAGTGCTCAGGCATAAAATAGGTTTTTCCCCTGCATTATTTAAATTCAAATTTTCACTAATTAGTGATCCCTTGATTGGGGGAGGCTGCTGCGCACTCAATCACGGGCGACGAGTGAAGTGCTCAGGCATAAAATAGGCTTTTCCCCTGCATTATTTAAATTCGAATTTTCACTAATTGGTGATCCCTTGATTGGGGGAGGCTGTTGCGCACTCAATCACGTGCGACCAGCGAAGTGCTCAATCACTTGTAAGGGTCACTTTGCCCATCACTTTGCTGGTTGGCATAAAACAAGCTTTTCCGGACATTATTTGAATTCGACTTTTCACTAAATAGTGATCCGGTGATTGGGGGGGGAGGCTGCTGCACACTCAATCACGGGCGGCCAGTGAAGTGCTCAGACATAAAATAGGTTTTTCCCCTGCATTATTGAAATTCGAATTTTCACTAATTAGTGATCCCTTGATTGGGGGAGGCTGCTGCGCACTCAATCACGTGCGACCAGCGAAGTGCTCAATCGCTTGTAAGGGTCACTTTGCCCGTCACTTGGCTGGTTGGCATAAAACAGGTTTTTCGCGATATTATTTAAATTCAAATTTTCACTAATTAGTGATCGGAGAGGTCATCCGTTTTAGTTATATAGTGGAAGTGTGACAGGCAGAACGAACCCCTTTCCCCTGTTGCGTCACTGAGGACCTCTGATGCGGACACGGCGGGTGACAGACGCCGCTGTCCTTGGCTTCAGCGACGAACAGGGCCCCCTCCCCGGGTTTCCTCACAACTTTGGCGCCGTTGTCGGGGAGGGGACTGCACCCCCAAGGCCGCGGCCTTCCCCAATCAATGGGGATGCGCGGGCTGATTAGTCACAGTACTAATTCGTTCGATTTCATGATTAGATTTTTTTTTTTTTTTTTTTTGCATTAGTTTTTTTAAAATATCTCGCAATTCGCGCATTTTCTCGCAAAAAGCGTAGAGGACAAAGTTTGACGTATCGACGAAGGGGAACGTAAGGAGGCATTTTTTGCTGAAATCTAACAGTCATATTTCGAGATAACGAATTTTCTTCGATAATCAAATCATTAAATCGAAATTTCCTGTTTTTTTTTCTTTTTTTAGGGAAATTGGTACATTTTCTTGAGATAACTCCTTGTACCAAACCTGCTCAATTTATTTTTCCCGTCATATTTATACCTTGGACGGGGCAAACGGAGGTGGTTAGAGGCGAGAACGGTAAGTAACAGCAAGGAAAAAAAAAGTAAAACAAGAATTAAATATTTAATTTCTTTAAAAATTTCGTGTAAAATACCATAAAAGGGATTAAGAAAAAAGTGTTCGTCAAAGTTTTTGCAAATTTTGAGTAAAGCTGACGGGAAAATTTTGGGACTGAACGAGTTTTGGAAGAGAGCGTGCGGTTGCGCGCGAAGCCCCCAAAACCCTAGTAGATAAACCTTAATTAGGGGAAACCATTATTAGGGGAAGCCTTATTGAGGGTTTTGGGGCGGATAACAACCTCGAAGCGGAAGGATAATATATAGAGAATATTTCGCCTTTTGAATTCTTCGGCTTTTTCGTTTTAAAAAAAATTAAATTAAAGAAAATATTAAAAATAACAAAAAAGGATTAATTAAATTTTGTTTTATTTTATTTTTAAATTCTGACGTCTTTCCTTTCGGGTTGTTGAGCTAGGGGCGGAAGCCCCGAACCCCATCCCCACGGGGGGAGGGGAAATAATGCCTAATTTTCTAGAAAATTTGTAAAATATTTCGAATTAATTAGGAAATAATTAGAAAAAATACTCAAAATTTGGTTAAAAATTAATATTTTCCTTTGATATTTTTTTCCTTTTGCTATACTCCTTCGGCGGCTATTTTGAGGCCTTCGGCCACACCCCATCCCCACGGGGGGAGGCGAAGTGCTGCCAAATTTTTCGGGGACCCTTGTGGTCAAGCAATTTTGCCCAAAGACATACAAGGGACATGAGTGTATGTAAAATAAGAAAGGGGGGGTATCTTATATAAACGTAATTATTGTAAATTAGATACAGTTAAATACAGAAAAATATTGGCGGAAAGAGAAACGCTTTAGCTGCGCTACTCTCTAGGGGAAGCTTTGCATGCCTCTAGGCAGTGGTCGAGGGTCAGTGGGTTTCTAGAAGATAAAAGTAATTTTTATTTATTTAAATTTATTAAAATTTCCTAAAAATATTAAAATGGCTTAAAAAAATAGAGGGAAGAAGGTCAGGGCCTTCTAATTTTGGTACTTAGACAGAGGAAAACATTTGTACTCCTGAGGGGTGACCGGAGCAGTCGGAGGCAGCGTTCCCTCGAACAAAGCACACGCCTTCTATTCAAGGGAACTTGACTATAGGGCCTCTTGCCTTGTTTAGAGTCGGGGCTCCGCCCTGTAGCACCATAGGGGACCTTTGGATAGTAAGGAGATAGATCGACAGTGTGATATCGGGGCTCCCAACGAAGGGAGGCGAAGTGTTGCCGAAATTCCCTCATAATCGACAAACCTTCTTCTCCTATCTTTCACTTTCTCTACCCATCCCTTTTGCTGCGTTCTCTCTAGTCGCCAGTTGGATGTGGCTGCGAGCGCAAGTAGAGGTCTATGAGGCCACCATCGACTAGGACTTGGAGCCCCCGGAACTCATAGAAGGGTATCTAGTGGAGCTCACGATCCCCGGGCGCAGCGTTCAATACGTTGACGACCAGTTTGCGTGGAGGTCCATAATCTTATCCGAGGACGTGTGGCTTTGGACGCACAGAGAGCACCGGCCTGGGGAAGGAGTGGGCGTAGTGCGAGCCTACTTGTACTTAGGACCGGGCGCGGTCAGGGAGGCCGTGGTGGGCCTCGCGACAACAGGGACTAGTGGAGCGGTGAGCAGGGCGTTACGCTACCTGAGGGACGAGGTAGCTGCCTTCCGAGCAGAGAACTCGAGCGACCCGTTGACCCTATTTCACGGACGCCCTCCTCTAGATATCACGAGGGAGCTGATGGTAGCACAGGACGGTTTTTTCCCGTACAACCTTTGGAGTCTGCGGAAGATAGTTCTGGCGTTCGTAGTAGAGAGCGTCTTTGGAGGTATTGGTAGAATGGTCGAGACATACCTAGCCTATCAGGACCTCAAGATCCTGGCGAGAAGGTCTGCCGACCTCGGCTTCCTCAATTATTCGCTCGCGACCGGTGGGCCTCGTTGGGGTGACGAGAGGGTTCAGCTTATAGAGCTGATCCGTTCGATAGACGACGAGTGGCCCGAGTCTCCGTGCGTTTGGGATTGGCTAGACCGTGAGCTCCAGGAAGGCCCCAAGTACGTGACATGCATCGGGCGGCTCTTCTCAGACGACTGGGGAGCTGGTGGAGTGAGGACGCCGGACAACCTCTGATATACGACCATCAGTTGGCGGAGTACTACCAGGCTATAGGACAGGCGCCATGCCGTGTCGAGGACGAGTTTGACGACGAGGGTTGGGAGCAAGAGGACGACGAGGACGTCTGGGAGCCAGACTGGGTTGACCTAGAGAGTGAGGTTGACGAGGAGGAGATCGACGTTACGGACGCCCACTTCCTCAGGATAGGAGTAGCAGTCCAGGCATAGGAGGCAGAGGAGCACATTATGGTGGCGGTTGAGTGAGCTTAGCTGCTGATATCGGCCGATAGTGGAGAGCGGATCGATGGTAGAGCAGGCCAGTGGAGTGGAGCTTCAGATCGACGACGCTAGATGGCCTAGACCTCTAGAGACAGTAGTGTCAGGCAGGGTGGCGCTGGATCTGCCGGCCAGAGGGGTTTCCGCGGATGCGATAGAGAGTCGATGGTCATGGACGGTGTTGGGGTCAGTCGTACACTTGTGGACATATGTCATCGAGACGTTTGAGCTAGACAGTCAGAGGTGGCGACGGCCAGGCATGACTAGCATACAGGTAGTGGGCCACATTTACTACTCGCGGGAGGTGCTAGCCACAGTCTATTTTCACGGCATCGTGCATTATTATTGGCGAGAGGAGCAGAGCGCGAGGAGGATCTTACTGGCTCGAGCGGGCTCCACACGGGGCGAGGTAGAGCGGCTGCACGAGGGTGTTCGGAGAGTGATGACGACCTTGAGGATTGGGGGACACTTCCCGTATCTTAGCAGTCGACTGCGTGTGACACTCCCGTGCTTCATGGCGGAGGAGCTTTGGGGACTTAGACGTCTGGGTGAGATCTACTTTGCGGCTCTTGACTTGGATAACCTTTGCCGAGGGTACGCTGACAGGGACTGGGTGCTGTATGCACAGTTTGTAGCGGGGCCGCTTGTAGGCGAGCGAGGGCTGCAGTTGATTAAGTTCCTGCGGGCCATTGTACCTACTGGGAGCCCTGACCTGTATTCTATGTACCAGCCCCTAGCCTTCTGGACGATGCTAGAGAGAGAGGCTCGGAGGCCTATAGATCATTTAGCTGGAGTAGGACAGTTGTTAGCCGAGACTCGTGAGGAGAGGCCGGGCCATCTGATCTCGACCGGGGAAGTTGGGGAGTATTACCAGCAGGTATATCCAAAGGCAGACGATCTTGCGTGGTACGCTGAGGATTGGAAGGAGTTCGATGACATAGACCCTTGGGGTGACCAGGACGAGGGCTGGGGAGATCTGGTGCGGGCCGAGGGACAGGAGCAGGAAGGTGGAGAGGCGCCTCAGGAGGACGGCTGGGGACATCTCCTTCAGGCCGAGGGACAGGAGGAAATCCCATGGAGGCAGAGGGTAGATGAGGACACAGATGAGGATATGCCAGATGCATGAGACGACTAGAGGCAGGGCATATCCTAGTGAGGTTTAGATAAGAGAGTAGTGGAGAGACGGTGAGTAGATATCTTTAGGCGAGGCGAGACTGGCAGCAAGAGCATGAAAGAATGGCAGACAGGGATATACTGAGAGTGACGCTTTCCCTACGACGAGATAGGACAGGAGGCTGGGAAGATGAAGTGTTGGGCAACGTTGAGCGACAGATCAGACTCATGACGAAGCATGCCCTGGAGATACGGAGAGGTCAAAGGTACGTCGAGTTCACTATCTATTTTCATGGAGCAGACGGGAGAGTGCACAACACCTACTCGGCCATGATGGATCTGAGTGGGAGAGTTGTCTGAGGAGTTAGCGACGTCGAGAGATAGGGAGCGTAGGAGGGAGTAGAGTGATGTCGATCGAGAGTCGGAGGGGAGATGAGGAGTGACTCAGTAGCCTGGTTAGCTTATGTTCTCTCACGAGAGTCCGAATCCTATAGCGCGAGGAAGCTTGTGAGACCCAGAGAGACGGCGGTTGGATATGACATTCCTCTTCCTGTGGCATTAGAAGGGACGGGGCGTAGTCCGTTACGATGCCTGGGAACGTGGCTCGCAGAGGGACTCTTCCTTTGGACAGTGATACTGAGAGATGAACGACCCGAGGACTCATGATCTAGAAGGGGTCGGACATCTAATAGCGGATAGAGTACACGATTTAGAGGTAGGACTGACGCTTGCAGGGGTAAGCAGGGCTTGGTGAAGAAGTGAGCTGTTGGCCAGAGTGATCGTTAATCCGCAACTGGCGAGACTCTCTAGAGGGAGGACATATTGGAGCCGCTTGGTATATGGTCCTCCGCACCCGACCCTCTACCCGAGGGAGGGTTGGCGATTTAGACTGCCTGCGTTCGTAATAGGGCAGGCCTATGGGAGCGTAGATCGTCTGAATAGAGCAGTGGACCACACATTCTACGCACATTGGGAGGGCTTAGCGCCCCGTTTCAGGGAAGTATACTACGTCATTTGTGTAAGGTGGGGACCACCCAGCAGAGAGACGCTAGATGACATCATAGACGCTACTAGCTGGGTGGACTGTCTGAGGCTAGTCGATCTGATTACGTACTGCAGGAGACGGGCGGAGATCGATTACGTGGGGCTAGAGGATGTGAGATTTCTCTTCGAGGTCGTAGCGTAGGGAATGCCGGGGAGGACGACCACAGAGATGCGCGTAGGAGAGCAACTGGTAAGCACAGGGTACACTGTGACAGTACTCCTCCGAGCATACATAGATGAGGACTTGACAACGAGGGAGTGCAGACGACGAGCCAGGGATTTGATCCACGAACATAGAGCTGATGTACTGACGCGGGTAACCTTCCAGACCTCGATTTCCTATGATGTGATCATATGGTCTCATGGTTATATGCGCGCGGAGCACTTCCACGACGATTCGGTAGCGGAGGCTAGAGCGAGGGTGAGAGGATGAGCTGGAAAGAGAGGAGGACTGAGAATGAAAGAGGAGAGTGAGGCAGTCGAAAGAGTGAGAGAGCGCATAAGAGAACCACTCTTGAACCAGGTAAAGGAGTTGGGGAACAAGATAAGGGAGATTTGGTCGTGCCAGGAAGAGGGCAAGTTGCGTAGGGCGGAGCTCGTGAAGAGAGAGTTAGAGAGTTTGTTGAGGGAGGAAAGAGAGATTATCTAGGCGTGTAGATCAGACTTTCTGGAGAGGGTAAAGGCTAGGAGTGTATCACGCGAAGGAACTGGGGAGAAGTCTGCAGAGGGCGAGTCGAGGGAGGACAAGGTAATACAGGGAGGTAGCGACAGGACATGAGCGAGACTGCACTACACACGATGGTTTGGTACTCATTGCATGTGGTAGGGAGACTTGACGGACCGTTGGTGTTAGTGATCGTAGAGTTCCAGCTCCATACCAGACTGTGCATAGTTGAGGAGACAGAGTGTGTCCGTCGTGCGCGGCGTGAGGCAAGGGGGACAGGACTTTGGATTGGAGTAGAAGGAGGACGAAGGATAAAATACGTACTCCGAGTGACACCTTTCGAAGGGCGGTCTCGGATAAGGGCATGGTACGAGATGACCAGGGATGCTGAGAGGTTGAAGATAAGCGAGGCTAGGAAAGCAGGAGAGCTAGGGAGAGTTGTAACAGACGGTGCAATACTCAGGGTGCTAGCCGCTCACGATCGGTACTGGAGAGAATCGATAAAGACTTTAGAGGCCATAGAGGATAGTGGAGATGAGGAGGATTTTGAGACATTCTATGACCTATTGGAGCTGTCAGCGATGAGGTTACGAGTGGTTATAGCACTGACCTACCTCATGTGCTCGACAAATGACCTCATAGCTGTCAGGGAGTTAGAGGAGGAGAAATAGAGATTGGAAGCTCTTGGAAAGGTAATGGAGGTCAGAAAAGTCGGCGAGCGACTTTGGATGGCAGGAGGAGGAGAGCTTCCACCTTCAGCGGGCTACCCGATTCAGGACGGGCTGGGAGACCTAGCAAGGAGGACGGAGATAACCGCTCGGAGGCTCTTAAGGGGTGCTGATCAGGAGATATTGGTTAGGCTTGGGACCACGATCTGCCGCAGGAGTAGAGATCCTTTCACGGGTGTACTGCAGATCCGGAGAGGCGCGACCTTGTTGACCGATCCCGAAGGAGAGGTTTACCAAGACACAGGGATTCCTGGGGTAGAAGGAGAGCATGAGATCCGCAACCGGAACGGAGTACAGGTGGTGGTAATTGGGGCAGTCGAGAGCTAGGACTGGAGGCGGACGTGAACCGTGACAAGGAAACAGGTCCGGGTTCCCGCAACTATCACTGGTCCGGGCTGTGAGTTCTGTCATAGGTTCGGGCTGCAACAACTGTAATAGGATTGGGTTGTCACACCCGACGAGGCTACCTAACTGCGTCTTCTGGTGACCTATGGAACCAGACACGATGGGGCCACAACCGACCACGGGCGAAGTAGGGGAGGAGAACAGGACATCGCCCGACTGAGCTCTGAGGGATCTGAAGGAACGAATTAGGTGGGAAGCACCGCTGAGATGACTTGACCAAACCAATGACGGAGAGCCCGACGTAATGGGCGAGCCGGTCGTGACAGAGCCGCAAAACGCTCTGAAGACAGGAACCTCGAGCGGCCGGCGAGAAGCGACGAGACGACGCTCCCCTGAGTATGAGCGGAGGGAAACCAAGGCGGATAGGCACAAGGACGACTGGAGAGAGAGTTCAAGGGATTCCTATTGGAGGGACAGAGAGAGAGATAGAGACAGAGCGCCACCCAGGCGAGTCTTCGACCCCCAGACAGGGGAATCGCATCCGCTTCCTTAGGAGAGCAAGGATCGCTATATTATTACGCACCAGAGCTCTGAGCCTCCAACTTTTAGGGGTTATGGCATCACATAATATCAGGAGAAGTGGGAGCTTCATGCAAGCCGGAGTCAGTGGTCGGAGGAGGAGATCGTGGAAAACTTCCTATTTAATGTAGATCCAAGTCTCGGCAAGGAAGTTAGGGAAGCCCGACCGAAGGATGGAAAGTGGACCAGGTATAAGAAAAACCTCATTGAACTTTACAAGTTGGAGGATAACAAGTACTCCATCAAGCATCTTGAGACCATGACTCAAAATGAGGACGAGACCGTTCGGGCATTCGGGAAGCGTTTCCAGAAGATCTCTCACGTGCTAATGGAGAAGGGAAAGATCTCAAAGGTCGAGCGCTGTACTATTTTTATTGGACACATGTCCAAAGGGAGACAAAAGAATATACTTTGAGATCTCCCACGCGACAATTTTGACTTCCCTTAAGTCCTAAAACTCGCGGTAAAGGCCGAGGCAGACGACTACAAAGGCTTGGTATGGAGAGGAATGAGGAGGCGAGAGTTCTCTCTCTATAAAGAGTATGCCATTGATAGATGCCCTGATTTCAAGGACTATCCCTGGTCGGAAAAGAATGAAGCGGTAGCTGAGGAAGTGAAGGAGATAAGGGACATGGTAAAGGGATTGACAAGGCAGGTTCCAGAGATTGTGACCAATAGGGGAGCCACGACATACCGGGATAGACCCGGAGGAACCTATTCACTTCGGTGGGACCGTCGGAACACCGATCCCTAGAGGAGTATCGAGGATAGAAATCCTCGAATGCTAACCGATTATCAAGTAAGGGAAAGGGAGAGAGACAATGAGCCATGGCGACGAAGGGATGATGAGATAGACCAAGACCGCAGGGTTCACGAGACGTATGGGCGAGCAAGGCGAGGGGATGATTACTCGCGCAGCCCTCGATATGAGGTTGATGGGGGTAGGAGCGACCCACGAGGTCGATGGGATTCGGACCAGGACCGACGAGACGGATACAGGGACGATAGATATGAGAGAACAGACCGAGATGGATACAAGGGTGGCAGGTATGAGAGAGGAGATCGAGACAGAGACCGACGAGATGACTCGCGCAGACGGTACGACCGCGGGGGATACGAGAGGGCACAACGCGACAATTCGCGTGGGCGGTACGACCGAGGAAATCGACACGCTGAGTCACGCGGGCGATACGACCATGAAGACCGCCGGTATGACTCACGGGGACGATATGAGCAAGGAGGATCTGGAGGAGACTGCCGCAATGATTCGCGCGGACGGAATGAGAGAGGGGGATATCGCGCGTCGGCTGATCCGAAGCCAAAGTCCCCTGACCCCAGAGCAGCCAGGGGTTCGACCTCTAGGAGCGCAGACGACAGGCCGCCCACTCCCTGGGACTCTTGCGTCTAGTGTAGAGGGGATGATCATATCAAGAGAGACTGCCCGGATCTCAAACGGGCAATAGATGAGAGACTTGTCGTGCTTGACGACCGCAAGTACGTCAAGTAGGCAGATGATCAGGGAGACGTATCAATGCTCCCTTTAATGAAGGAGAATGTAGAAGCAAGGATAGTAAGTCCGAGTAAAGGAAAGGAGCCAGTTAGGAGTCAGAGCATCAAGATAACTTTCGAAGCAGATATGGCAACCACACCCATAAGGGTGATAGCTACCAAGTCGGTGAGAGGGTCTACATCGAGAAATACTGACACGGATTACGTGATGGCGGAGAAGAACGGACAGCGGATCAATGGAGAGGAGGTTATACTTTCACCGCGAGAAGCAGCAGGGAGTGAAGAAGTTATTGATGATGAGTTCGCTGGATGAGATTGACACGGTCGAGCCACTGAGACGGGCCTTTCGGCAGCCCATGCAGTGCTCTATTCTGGAATATCTGGCAGCATCCAAGCTGGCTCGCGACAAGTTACAGATGATCACGCGGAATACTCGCATACCTCTATCGGAGGAGGTTCACGTGGCCCTTAAGGCGGATGCTCCTACTGTAGCACTATTAGAGGTGACAGCTAGAGCAGATCGCATGGCGACAGTTCTTCTTGATGGGATGGAAGGCGTGTTTCCAGACAAGTTTTACATACTTGGAAGTGGGACCGTGGAGGCGATCCTAAACGACGGAGCGGTTCTAGATGCTGTGATCGATAACGGCAGTGAGGCTGTCATTATAGACGAAGATCTGGCAGAGCAAGTTGGACAGGGCCTCGATAGGTCATACCTATTTGAGATAGAGACGACTGATGGGAGAAAGCAACAGATCACAGGGGTTTGTCACAAGGCAGCCATAGAGGTCCAAGGGGTACGAGTGACCCTGCCAGTCTTTGCAGTCAAGAACTGCAACTCTGACCTGCTCTTAGGACGGACGTGGTTGAGCCATGTGCATGCGGTGACGATAGAGCGACCAGACGGGAGCTAGACACTGTCCATTAAGAAGCTAGATGGGGCGCGGGTTACAATTGAGACGATAGAGCCTCGAGATTTGAAGAACAGAGTTTCTCTTGCTGTGGGAGCCAGGGCCGAGGGGTTTAGTCGTTGCCTATCTTCAGCCGCACATTGTGATTCCGCGAGAAGAAGTATGGGCCTCTACTTACGGAAGAAGAAGGGCGGATCGTCGAAGTGAAAAATTTAGGAAATCGGTTGATAATAGATGGGAACTCTTATCCAAAGGAAAGGAACGGAGAATTCGGCGGCGTGATATCTGTGTCATTTTTAAGGGCATCGTCCCCCTACGCGGAGCAACCCAAACACCACAAGCGAATAGCTCAGAAAGTTAAACCTGTTGCGGTACGTCGATAGCGATCTGTGCTAGAAGGAATATTTGAAGAGGAGATCGCCAAAGAGATTAAGGAAGGGAAAAAAAAGAGCCGCAACGTTTAATAGAGGATAGGATAGCAGAGATGGATATCGACGATGGGAACTTAACCCCGCAAGAGAGAGAACGAGTACTAAAGGTACCCAAGACTTGCGATAAGGCCACAGCTTTCAGCGATGCGGAACGGGGCCGAATTGACCCTCATTATGCTAAACGAGCGAGGATCTGCACGATTTCGCACACTCCACAATCAAAGCACTTTTTAGCTACGCTCGCCGGGGGTGTGTTTGTTCGGAAGGATTTTACCGAATTTTTCTCACCTTTCCCGCACAAAACCGGCGACGTGCACTCTCAGAAACGCAATAATTAATTTTTTTTTTTTTTTTTTTTTTAATCGTTAATTAAAAAAAAAATTCCGTCAGAATTTTTTTTTTCACTTTTTACCGTGCACCCATAGACACAAATTTTGATTTTTCCATTGGGGATTGTGACCCTACCACCCACCTCTTCTCTTAGCTACTGCTAACTAGGGGTTGTGGCCCTCCGATACAACTGTAAATGGGTCCTGGCTGTCGCCCGGAGTTTCAATTTGAGTTTGCGCAAGTCGAGGGTTCAACGGGGGCGTCGAGAAGAGGTCCGGGGTAGCTGTCGGGCGGCCACAGGCAGTGGGCCAACCGAAATCAGCGGTTTGAAGTCTTCGATTTGATGACTAGACCGTATTTTGACGGTACTCTTGTTTGACCTGACGGGGAAAATTAGGCATACCCAGAGCACCCCTAATTTTGGATGTGCTGACCACTGAAAGTAACCCTCAAATTAACGAGGGGAGTCACCGCTTCTACCACGTTGTGCCCCACCTCTCTTCCGCTTGCTCCGAGTCTATTCCCGAAGCAGCTAGCCGCGGGAAGGGAATACAGGAGTAGGCCTTGGCATAACCGTTTTACTTTACACAATTGGAGTGGGAATGGAGCCTCGGATTTCATTAATTTTAATACCAGAATTAAAAATGAAAAAAGGAATTCAGAACAATAGAAGCGAAATGAAAAACGTGATATTCTTTATTTTATTAAATTTCCTCGGTATTTAATTTTACTTGATTCGCCGTCGTTATTTGTTATTTCCAGTAATAGAATCAAAAATAGGGAAAAGAAATCAAAAGTAATAAAAGAAGAAGAAAACAAAGAAAATTTTGTTTTTTAATTGAATTCCATCGGGATTCATTTTTGTTGGAATTATTTTTATTTTCATTATTTTTATTTTCATTATTTTTTATGATACGATTAAGAAATAAGAAAAATAATTAAAAATGATTGAAAGGGAAGAAAATTAATGATTATTTAATATTTGATTAAATTATGTTTAAATTATTTGTGATGGGTTTGGGGCCGGATTATTTATTTACTCTGATTTAACGATCCTCCCTATTCTCCGATAATTGAGATCGCTCACGTGACTTACCTGATATATCTGGTTACTAGCCTTGCCACAGTTAGTGTGTTTCACGTGCTATACAAATCTACCTGGCATATTTTTGTTGATACAGATCTCACTGGGCCTGGTGCTTGGCCCATTTTTTCCCAATAAAGGCCACACAGACCTGGTACCGGGCCTGCTTTTGCCAGTGCGGGGTAAACTGGCAGTCTCTTGAGGCCACGGCCTCTGGTACTAGGAGGATATAACAAGGATCAACTGGTCTGGTAGGACATTCAGACGGGGGCAGTCTCTTGCAGCATGCAAGGTGTACCCCCCCCACGTCGCTTATACTGATGATGTCAACGGGGAGCAGTGGACAGGCGGTTACATGAGATGGGGACGAGGAGAGTGTGTGAAAGGTGTACCCGCCCACTGACACGGGCATTTCGGAGGGACTCGGTGCGAGCAAGGTGTCCCCGCGTATGCAAGCACGGGGGAGGCACGTCGGTGCTCAGGCGGTTATTCGCGTGTGAGAGGAGAGTGAGAGAGAAAGGGACTGCACAGCGGGAGTGAGAGATTGTGTGTGTGAGGGAGAGAGATTGTGGCGAGAGAGAAAGAGAGAGAAGCCCCGTGACTGCAAGTAAGTGAGGCTACGATAGTAAGAGAGACGGGAAAAAGGAAGAGAGATGGTGGAAATCCTCATGAATCATGCCATGTGAGGAGAGAGAGTGTTGAGGAAGGCGGCGCCATGTCACCTGGTAAGTGCCCTTTTTGTTTTATGCTTGAAGCGAACGCGCGCGCTGCTTGATGAAGTGTGCGGCCGATCAAGAGTGTTCACAAATCGAGCGTACAACCAATCAAGTGTGTGAAGCTGAGAGGGTGCGTGCAAGGAGGAGAGAGTGGGAACGAAGCAATCAGGGGTTTCCTGCAGCTGGTGGGATCAGGCTATTCTGCCCTGCAGCTGGTGGGACCAGGCTCTCTCGCTGAACAGCCAATCAAGACTTCCATTGGACAGGTGATCAGGCGATCCTACTGCAGGCGGGATCAGGCTCTTTTGCTGATCAGCCAATCAAGACCTCTGCTGATCGGGCGAACAGGCAGGCATTTTTGCTGATCGGCCAATCAAGATTTTTGCTGATCGGGCGAATAGGCATTTCCGCGGCCGGCGGGACCAGGGCCCAGGCAATCGGGCATTCCTGCTATTGGCAGAACCGGATTCCTCCGCTTATTAGCTAATCAATGATCCCGTTGATCAGGCAATCAGGCACCCCCTACTGTTGATAGGTTCCATCGTCTTTGCTGAACGGGCAATCCAGGAATCCCGCTGCTGGCGAGTACAGCCTCTTTCATTCCAGCTGCCGACGTGACTTCTTACCTCCAGTGCTGTTTGATCTCGTCACTTTTTGCTGATGGGAATCGGTCATCCGCACTGACGGCGGGGACACCCGCTTTCTCAGCATTGGTCACACAGGGAGAGAGGTGAGAGATAAGAACTTGATCGAGATTGAAGGCCAAGTTCATTCTACTCGCGGGCCTGCATACAAATCTGCGTAGGCAGAAAGAGCGGTTCAGCGTGTACCGCTGTTTTCGTTATTATTAAGTTTTTTTTTATTTACTTGTTTATTTATCATTATTATTTTTCATTTTTTTTTTAATCACAAGCACTTGCCTCACAGCAGTGACGAACCGGGCTTATGCGAAGGGAAGGGGAATGCGCAGTGAGAGAGAGAGAGAGAGAGAGAGAGAGAGAGAGAGAGAGAGAGAGAGAGAGAGAGAGAGAGAGAGAGAGAGAGAGAGAGAGAGAGAGAGA